AGAGAGAGAGAGAGAGAGAGAGAGAGAGAGAGAGACTCCAGGACGTCTCAGTTGGTCGAAATGAAAAAATGAAATCCCTATAGAAAGCTACTTTCTGATTCATGATCGTAGTTACCTACATTTCTTTTTTGTTCGTAGAATTATATCGTTAATTCTTTCAAACGTTGAATCCTCTTTAACTAATTCTCTTTTAAATAACACGACTTACGACTTTTTTACGTTGCCATTTTATCGGCCCGGCAGGCTCTCGAATAGCCTATATGAAAAAATTAATTCCACCTTGCAAAAGGCAAAGTAGCGATAGGTTGGCACATCACTCCGAGTCGAGATGACAACTTTATGCTCCATACTCATCCTGAACGGTCGTTAATTTTCACGCGTCGTAATTTTCACGCCCGGCAATATCGTTCTATCAGCGCGCATCGAAAAACCATTTATCCGGCCGCCAAACGAGAGAAAGAGAGACGTAGGAAGGAAACGTGATGGAGCTAATGGTACTCACCCTAGGTTATGGTTGTCCGTGTTGTCGGGAGCATCGTCCGTCACGGAATCCTGCGTGAGGGGGTCCTGAGTGACGTCCACCCCCATACTGCCCAGATCCAATGTGGCGTAGGTTCTGCGTGCCTGCACCTTCGTTCCACCGCCCCCTCCCCCGCCGCCGCCGCCGGTCACCTCGCCACTTCTGCCACCGCTGACCAATTCCTGATACAATTCCTCGAACAGAGAGCTGCTGTTTCCATTGCTATTTAGAGCATCGTCCAGTCGGACTGGATCCAGATGGTAGTTGGGATTTTCGAAGGAAAGGAGGCCGTTTTCTGGAAACACAGAAATAACGTGCATCTTGTTAGAATTATGCTCAAAGGCTTACTTGAAAAATAATATCGGAAATGTATATTACGTTCGTGTAATTTAAGATATAAATAAAAATATCTTATCGCAAAAAAATTTTATTGCTTGTATATGTAACCTGCTTGACATCAAAACGATCGAAGATATTATCAATGCAAAACGCCCCATTACACAACGACGAATTAGTTATTCAGGCTATTATCAAGGCAATTCTTACGATAATCCTCATCAATCACGCAAATGGGAACGGCGAAGAAGCAAAACGTACGGAATAATGAAATAACGAATAATCAGAAAATACTTAGATATCGCGTTTTAGAGATGCTTATTTGGTCGATTCGAGAACTTGCGGCGGTCGAGAACTTGGAGAAACGAATCGTCTCGGTCGTCTACTCATCGTAGAAAATTGGGCATCGATTTTGCGGGACGCATGCGTAGCTTATACTAGCCGTTTCCTTCGCTGACGTGACTGCATGTGATAATAAAGTAAGTCCCGTTTCCTCGGAGGAGCATTACTCGGCAGAAATCCCCGTTGCTTCTTCGCGTGGCGTGCGAGACGCCGCGACGCGCACAGCCGCTCGCGGTTTTAAGACTTTAAATATCAGCGGATAACGAGCGGCTAAAGGTCAAGGCTCCGGGGAGTTATGGCAAACCGTGATAGCAGATGCGATCGACCGCAGCTACCGGCGGCGGCGCGTGCATGGAGAACGTGCCAAAGGTCGCCCGATAACGCGGTATCGATAACGCGCGGCGGACCGCCCCCGATATCGGCGAACGTGCCCTCTCTTCCTCCCTCCTCCGCCCCCCCCCCGGTTTTAACGTCACAGAATCTGACGCATCGAAATCGGATGCATTTCACGTCGCGCTCGAATCGAATTCCTGATGCGAGCGCGATCAAGAAAATCGAGAGCCCACCTCGCTTGCCCGACAAAGCCGCATGACAAATGTTTCAAGTTCGGCGACGCTTTTCGCAAAAAGGGCGGGAAACGAAAGATCGAATATCGAGGAGAGGAGGAGGGAGAGAATCCAATTTAAGTTCGTGCTAATCTATCGCGGCGACGGCGGCGATTACGG